CATTGGAGTTGGCTCGGGAGTATGTACAAAGAACACAGAAATCGTCTATCTCGGACCACATGCACAGCTTCCAAACAATTAACGTATCCCAGTACTTGCCATTTGAGTCCACTAACCAACGCAATGTAACTCCGATGTATTACACAAACGTGGTAGAGAAATATAATCGCGCTGAAGATGCCGCCAGACGGCTGAATTATCCGGAATCACATGAGAGTGAAAGCAAAGGCTACATATTGTAGCCTTTTGCTCTTATAATCATTCGGTCACCTACAGAGGGAGAAAATTTCAAAAGAAGGGCATTGCAAAAGAGGTACAATGTTGTGGCACTTGCAAACAACCTATATGTAAGAACTGTCTGGGTGCGTGCCATTCGTAGAGGAAGCTGCAAAAATCTGTCATTCCTACGGTAGAAATATGTAGATTGAATAACTAAGCTAGGAAGTCGATGCGATAAATCAGGCATGTTGGTCAACTAAAATGCCTTCTTGACGCCCTTTCGAAATTGGCCACTCGGGATGGGGAGGTCGACCGGCATGATGGCAGAATATTTCTGCTCCCAGTGTCCTCACCGTTGCTCCCAACGTCCCCACCGCGGCTCCCATTCCTGCAGCCACCGTCTCTGCTCAACCACCTCCGCCCTCGGCACTTACCCCCGCTCCTCCCGATTTGCTCCGGCCTCCTCTGTGATACAACGACCGGCCCGCGCGTTGGTCTACAGTACAGACGGCCGTGACGGTGCACACGTGGGCGGGTGTGCCCACGTGTAGGGAGCGCGCGCGTGTACCAACCGGTCGTGGCGGGGCGCACGTGTACAGTAGCTCACGTGTCGTCCGAGCGGTAGTCTACGCGTGTTGCGTGTGCGCGTTAGCACACGTGTCGTCCGTGCGGTAGTCTGTAAGCAACACGCGTGTACAGTAGTGCACACGTGTAGTAGCAGCGTCCGTGCGGTGGTAGTAATTATGGCGCTAGCTTTTTAATTGTGTACAGTACCCGGCACGCACTAGGCGGCAGGTACTGTATTACTGTACTGGGACAGGTGTCCGAGGCGTCCCTCTGCGGGGTTAAGACGTGGCACCTGACCCCACCGTAAACGGGAGCAAGCTCGCCCCCGTCCCTTTCGCGCCTATATACGTCCGTTTCGGTTGTCTATCGCGCGCGCTGGCTTCTAACCCGTTACCGGTCGCTCCCGTTCACACACCACGGGGCGACTGCCCGTAACCGGCCAGTGAGCCACTCCCTTTTCGCGAGCTCGTCCGATCGGTTCAATTAGCGCGTCGCGTCCACGCCGCGTGCTCCCTCGCTATAGCCTCCTCCTCTCACCCAACCCAAGGCGGAGAAGAGTTATCGCACATTTTGGTACTCTTGTGGAGGGGATAACTCTTGAGGTTGAGCCTCACGCGTAGTCGCTCGATCGCGCGCAGAACCGTACGGACGGAAAAGGTTGAGAAATCACCGCGTCGATCGCGAAGCGTATTCGACGATGAACCGACTGGAAGAAGGGGGAGACCCCGCCTCCGGGCGTCTGAGCACCTGCAGTGGCAGTGGCGCACCGCGCCCCCGGGTGGAGAACCCGGAAGCCCTGCTGCGTCCGCCACCGCGACCGGGCCGCGCGCGAGCGTCCGCATCGGATGTTTCGCCGGCCGCGTCGGCAGGCACCGTGAATCGCGTCCAATGGATGATCGACGCGATTCAGCCGCGCCTGCAGGCCTGCGTCGAGGAGTTCCTCACTACAGAACTCCCCCAGGTCGCGCGCGTGTGCCTTGACCGAACGGTGCCCGCACTCGTAGACGAGCACGTGCGCAGCGCGATACCACCGCATTTGGACGAGCTACTACCCGCTCTAGTCCAACGCGAGGTGGTGACAGCGCTCGCTACTATGGACGAAGAATCCCCGTCCGGTACGGCTCTAAAGGGAGCGATCAGCTCCGCCGTGGCCAATCGTCTGGCCACGACCTTTCCCGCCGAAGCAGGAGTCGACGCGCACGCGCAGCGCGACTCAACCGCTCCGGATTTTACGCTACCGCACGCTGAACCGATCGGCGCCACACCCGGGATCGGTATAATGGCCCCTCACCCGGAGGGTAAGACCATTTACCTCCCACCAATTTATGGTGCTACAGGAGGGCCCACAGAAAATGGCCCTCCCGTACTCGCCGATACGGCTGGCCCCCGCGGGACAGAAAACCGCCCGGGGCGCGTCGCGACAGAAAAGCGACAGCCGTATCGGTCGAGCAGAAGAAGCGCACCCGGCGCTCAAGGATATAACTCGGAGGGTACAGAAATCCCCTCCGAGGAAGAAGACCCAAGACGTCGCCACAGGGCGACGCGCAAGAACCGCGACGGACGCTACGCGCGATACCGCGATGCCGGAGGGGTCGGTTACCCCTCCGATGATAACCGCGAAGGACGCGATACCGCGATGCCGGAGGAGGTGGATACCCCTCCGATGACGACGACACTGAG